GAAAGAATAGACCATTCCAAGCATTTACTTGTTGTTAAACAAATTTTTAAACAACTCTATTCAATGACTTAACTATATGTTATAAGCAGATCTGGAATCAATTCCAACCATGAAAGGAAAACGACTTTTGTCATCTGGTTGGTGGGGCTTTGTTCGTCATCCAAATTATCTGGGAGATATTATAATCTTCATATCCTGGACTTTACCATGTGGTAAGATTTTAGAAACATTTTCATATTGTTTGTGATCTATCAGTATTTCAAGAATGAAATCACCATTTAACAATAAATTTAAGGGTTTGACAAAAATGTTTTTCAATAATTACTTTTAAAATATAGCTTTGTATGAGTAAATTGGAAACTATTTTATTAAGATGATATTTTTATCTTTACAAAGGGAGACATGATCACATCAAATAAATGTTGCATATTCATACTAGTGTTATAAACAAAAGTGAAATAATCTCAACATGTAATTATGTCTCCCTCTATATAGAGATGAAAATAAAACAGTTTTTAATTCATCCATTTAACAATGTATTTTAGAATTATTGATAAGTCAGGGGTACTTATAAAAAAAATATATGATTTTGAGAAAATTCTGGTGAGGTTCTACTTGGTGAAATTAAATCACACTGCCTGATGATTCTTGTTTATATAAACTAATACAGTATCAGAAAAAAAAAGATCACTTCTTATGCAAAAATGGTCATTTCTTTTGACTTGCAAGTGGTTTTGCTCCTTCAGATTTTTTCAAACTTGACATAAGTTGTATAGGTAACATTATGCTGCCAGAATCTGTAAATTACCTAAATAGTTGTCATCAAAGGAATTTACAACACATGGTTGCTAAACTTTCAGTGCAAAGTACCTGCTTGTACTTAAAAAAATAAGTATAATTTTTTTTTTAATTCATTTCATGAATGTTCTCCAAAGTTCCTTTGATGTACAGTTTGAAGTTATTGTATAACTTGTATTTTATAAAATTAAAAATCAAATTCTTGCATATTTATGGGTTAAAATTTCATGTCTGGAATTGGAGAAGCAGTTATTTCATTCAAAACAGTAGAAAGTATAGTTACGTAACTCATGATTTAAACATTTTCCAGAAGAGAAATGAATAAATGATAACTTTTTACATCAGTTTTACCATTACTAACTTCGGTTTCTGAATTCCTAATGAAAAATGTAGATTCAAACATGAAAAATAAACATTGCTTCTGGAATTTCATACTTTTGAAAATTTTTTGTAAGAATGTTCAGTATTTATAGAAAAACAGCTTTAGTGATATACTGTATGTTATTTTTCGTGAAATGTGTGGTATTGTAAAAGTTGTATTTTTTGTAGAACATTATTATTTTTCCTGTATTATCATGGTGCTGTACAAATATTACACACGTTTATTTTACTAAAGTAATTTCTCATGAAATATTTATCATTTTATAGGTTTTCATCACTTTTTCCCTTACCTGCCAGTTTTGTTTGTCATAATATTTTTGGTGGGCCAGATAATGAAGTCTGAAGCTGGCTGTAAAGCTCGTTATGGTGCATCTTGGGACCGGTATACCTCTCATGTCCAGTATCGCCTGCTTCCTAAAATATTTTAATAACATTTTCAAATGATAGTGCCTTGCCATAGTATGGCTGTGACATGAATAATAACCAACATTATGTTACTTTGCATGCGCTGTGTAAACTTTATTGAGCAATATCTGAGTTTTATGCCCATTTTAGATTTTTATTTGGGCAAGGATTTAGGTTTCTGATGCAGTTTAGTTCAACATTATGGTTTTTCAGTTGTTTAATGTCCAAAACCAAAGAATAATATCTTCAAGTATGTTTAAAGATCATACACTTTATCGAGCAGGATTATCTACTATTTTTGTGATTTGTGTTTCTTGTGTCATTAAGATGGTTACTTTGGATAAACGTACATACACCTGTGTATGCTAATGTATATAGCTGTAAAAATACCAGATTTAGTTTCCATGTAAAAACAAGCATCTGTATTGTCATTACAGAAAAATATGTGAGGCTATTCATCTCAAAGCAAATGTTTTTCACTTGTGCATGTATAATTTATGATATGAAAATATCTTGTCAAAAAACAATATCATGTCACTGTCAAGACTGCAGTTTTTAAACCAATAAACAGATCTCATCCTACCCACATCCACAATAAAACATGGAATCCAGTGGAGCTTACTTAAAAGGCAACCTAGTTTGTTTTTCAAATACTTTATTCTGTCATTATAAAAATGTATTTGAAGCTTTCCAATTAGATTGATAATTAAGATTATTTTTATCTTGTGCTTACATAGATTTTAACATACTATGCAACAAAAACTATACCATGACCTGAGAGTACTGCATTTTGGAGCAGTGTCATCACTTACAAGCCTGTTCATGTTGAGGATAGAGACTGTCAATCAGTGAAACTTATTTTTCAATTGGTTTAGTTTTAACTTTACACACCTGACTATTTCTCCTTATTGAAGTGTATTAAAGAAAATATCTATGCTATAAACTTTCTCATAATTTATTATTGTTTTTGGAACTTGAGGAGTTAACTAGATTAGTTGTTTTTGGTAAGAGTAATTTATTATTTTTCTTGGGGTTTATATTTTGGAGATAAGAGCCATGTATAAATATCAGATTTTACTTTAAGTTATGAAAGTATAGGATGTGGTCCTTTTTTTCTCTTTGACCTTTCTGTCATAATCTGTAAGAAAGTTAAGCATATTTTAAAAATTAATTTGCATGAAACTACTGAATTCTAGTTCTTCTCTCAACCAGATTTCAAAAGCAAAGTGTGCAAAATATAATTCTTCCATCAGTATGCTCTAAAGGTTATGGCAACTTTTCTTCTTACAGATTGGATCATGTGGATGTTTCAGTGCTTTTCTATCCATATTTGAAGATCCATTAATTTTTTGTCTGACATATAGTCTTGTGTGTTAGTACATACTATTAAAATAGGTTGATCCTGAGATTTAAAAAAAGAAAAGAAAAAGCTAGATTTAATGGTAATAAAATCTAGGAAACTTTAATTTGATACATTTTGGGCCTAAACATTTCTTCAGGTGATGTCTGATATTTGGATATTCATTTGTATTTTAACACAGTTCTGTCAATTTTTCATGCTATATATCAACATGAAATTATTTTCTATTTATCAGTCCAGTGTTGTGGGTTAATCAGAAACCTATGTTTGTTTATTGTGAAATTATTTTCATACTGTAGGGCAGGGTTTCCCAACTTTTTTGCTCTTTCGGAGTGCTTTTAATGGAAAACATTATTTGCGGAGCAATATCATATGTAAATTCTTAAACAAACCTTAAGGATTAGGAAAAGTAAAAAAGAAATGCATGAAAACAATGACCTTTATTGAATAATTTCAAATAAAAGACAAAAGGAACTACTTTTTTGGCACAATTTAGTGGCTCACTTGTGGTTGCTTCGTACTGCAAGTTTTTTCAATATCAGGAGTTATTGATGTTATCTGTAAACGGAGATCATT